TTGAGTACATTTTTGTCTGTGTATTTGTACTTTTACTGAAGTACATTTTTTGAGTACTTTCTCCACCACTGTCAGCAAGAATGAGCTTTCTGTGGAGCAGAATTGTATTAACTGTTTTTCCATTAAAACAGACCCACCTATTTCACATTAATGTGTGCACAATACTGTTTACAAGCTTTGTGGCATTTTTTTGTCATATACTAATTCACCACCATTCTCTCTCTTGTCCCCTCTCTTGTCTTTTTGTCTCTTAGTGAGCTTTTGGGCCCAGAGTTTACAGAGACATACTACAACAAAGATGGACAGCCTGTGACAGTGACCAATCACAATTACACCGTAGGTATCAAACAGGACGTTTGTGTCAAGTGTTGGAGATAATGTGATTTTGGGAAATATGAAAAATCAATGTCTTACTATAAACTAAGCTAATATGAACATAGCAGGTGGTCTTGGCTAAAACATTAATTCAGAGGTGCAACCTCCTGGTTTAATGTTTTTATTAATAAAATAACAATAAACTCAGTCCATAAACAAAAACTCACAAGACGGGCAGGGCGGAACCTGCCGTCGACAGTCTGGGGGGCCGACCACGGCGCAGGAGACGGACCCCAGAAGGAGGGTCCGGCGGACGACACACATACTTATTCAAAAAGTAGCAATTCCATAAAGATCCAGTCCGATGTTTCCACACTGTTTCTCCTCTGAGTTTCAACGACCAATACAAGCCTCTGTTCCAACATCAACAGAACTCTTTCCTAGTGAGAGTGATATTCCATAAATGGAACACACATTGTTTGCTTTTTTTAAATACTGGGACCAACATCCAAGTATGCCAACTCATAATGTCTGCAACACAACCACCCAGGGTTTGATTGCTAACCTTTAGGCCTTTGCTACATTTTGTCCCATTTCTCTTTTTCTCTGCCCATTTTCTGTCTGAATACTCCAAAATAAAGTCCAGTAGTGTCTTAAACAGAGGACTGATGCAAAATCTGTAATGCCCATCAACTTTTGGTTAATAATTTTCTAATTTTCTTTCAGCTGGAAGTTCTTCACAGTTATAAAAAATGTTTGCCATTTTAGGATTTAGGGATTGAGTATAACTGATTTAGTTTTTAAGTTTAAGGCACTTTTCCTCTGGCTTTTCTGCCAAAATCTTCAAAGAGACTTTTACAGTCCTTCAAGACCAAAGAAATCTGGTCTGGTCTTCATATGATCCTCATCAGTTAGAGTTCTGCAGTCTGTGCTGCTTTTCAAAGCCAAATGTAACCTCAACCCTGTGCAGCCCTCATTATGAACTAGCTTTATTAAATCACCATTCATAACTAACTTGTTTTCAGAACTGAACCAGGGATCCTGAATGATTACTACCATTGCAGTACAAGAACAGAAAACTCCAGACTGAAAAATGCCAGAGCGCTGAAGTCATTTCATTTATTTTTATTGTTGGTCACCCAGCTCATAATGTGGGTGATATCTTGTCTGTGCACATGAAAGGTGTTTTCTATGCCGGAACCTGATACAGATGGCAGGTTATTCCAGCCTCCTGAGTGCTTCAGGACATTATCCACATTACATCCTGTTCAAGAAATCAGATTAATTACTGCAGGCTGGCAAGGAGAATTCTCACCGACAACTGATTGGTGTGTTGGCTCCAATAGAACCTCGCTGCTTGGTGTTCAAATGAAATGCCTCATTTCATGCTCCAATGAGCTGACAGGGACGTTTGAATGAACAAAAATCAACATGCTGGCATAATTTCATTCTTCAGATGGTAAACCCTTCTTCGATATTAGCAGCGGGTCTTGAGGTCCGTTGGGAGACCTGCTTTTCCTGTAGCTTTTATCATAGATTACTTCAGTTCCCACAAAGGTAACTGAAGTAAACAGTTACCTCCTCAGAAGGAGTGCTTCCTCTTTCAGAATAGATCAGAAAGGAGGAGGCACTGTCTCAGCTTTTGCATTTTTAGTTTGATTCTTACATTTACTATTTGTAAATTCCAAAGTCTTGATTAGTTTTCCAAATGTGAACATTTGTTCTGCACAATTAATAAGGAGTAGAATGATACACAAGTTAGTTATCTCCATTACAAATAAATCAGAGTCATGCAGAAGTATTCACAGCCCTGTTTTGGAACAAACATGGGAAAGAAGCCATTGGATGTGTTGAAAAACTAACCCTAAACTAGTGCCGGGTCATAAAACAATACTAATATTTTACTGGGGAACAAAATAAAATAAAAAATGACAATATTAATGATTAAAGTAGTCTTTAAAATTCAGTAAATCTAAAAAACTAAAAATAAAATACACTTACTTTTCAGGGGACGCTGAATATAAAGTGCATGCCACACCTTTCAGATTTGTATTCATTAAAAAATAAATCTTTTTTTTTTTCTTTTCACTTCACCTGCATTAAAGTCTGTCACTAAAACATGACAAAATTGGAAAGATTTCCATAAGTATAGACAGATGTGTAACATACCATAAATATTAAAATGAGTTTGATTCCACATACTATGATCTATGCTAGCAAAGGATTGTCGAAACAAATGCTGGCAATTAAGCTTTAAGTATATCAAACGTTGTGTTCTGTAAGTGTGATGTTTTTTTCTAAAAGCAGCAGTTCCAGCTGTTCACCGTCTGCAACATTCAGGCATGTAACAAAATGCCTAAAAGGAAAGTCATCAGTGAGGAGCTTATGGCTGGCACACACTGTTATATAAAAAAGGACATTAACATGACACACTCTTCAAGCTTAATAGTGTCAGTTTGTGATGATAACGAATTGACACTATTAAGCTTGAAGAATCATTGCTGTATGATGTGAGATTTAATGGCTGCCAGGCTGCTCTTATTTGCTGCTGCAGAGAATTCAGATTTTTTTGGATGGAGCGATATACCCGATTCTATGGCTCAGACACTTTTGTTGTATCAAAAAAATTTCACGATTTGAAATATTAAAATGTGGTAAATAAGCCCTGCTCACTTTTTGCAAACATCATGTTTGAATAGACGTGTGAAGAGCTTTAACATTCACCATTTTCACAATATTTAAATATTGCAGACAATGTTTTCCCCAGCTGAAACTATCGTGAACAGAACATGATTTTGTTTGTGAAGACATGGACAGAAAAAAGAAAGAAGCACTGATTTAATGGTTTTGTCTTTCAGAATCACTGCTTCTACCACGGCCATGTCAGAGGACATCCAGAATCCTGGGTGGCTCTCAGCACCTGTTCAGGAGTCAGGTACAGGCTGAGAACATCTGCAGCAGCGCTTCATTTTACAACAAATTCAACACAAAAACAAAAGGATAGTTTTCCCACTAAAGATTCTGAAAACATAAAACGAGCTTTTTCTCAATTTAATGTATTGTGGTGGAAATATCCTGAGATATTTGGACTCTAAGATAAAACAACAGATTATTGGTTGAATTATTATTCTAAATTGTTGCAGGTAGTGCTCTGATTGGGTTTCCTGCTGAAGCTGTTTTTATTTTTTTTTGTTTTTTTGCTAATTTAACTCTGAGATCTAAAAGCTGATCAATCCAGCATTTCCCATATCAGAGCTTAAAACTCTAAAGAATTAACAGGAAAATGTTGATGTGCTCTTTTCAGTCTTCTTGTTGTCTACTAACCTGCCTGGACAGGTAGTGGTCAGCACTGTTAATGACTGTTAATCACTGTTAATGTTCTCTGATTATAGAAATCAGTTCCGTTTTACTGTGATATAATTCTAATTAATACATTTGTGTCAATTAATAAGGTGGTTTATATGTGGTTTAGTTTTCTGATCCACTTGAACATGTCAGGTTGATTTTTGTCAAACCACGAATGTTTGTTAGCATTCCCAGATGTGCCATTTTATTCTCATTCTAAATATTTTAAATTAACATATTTTATCATAACCGGCCGATTTCCGTGAAAAAGTGTATGATCGGTGATCGTCGATCATTGTCTCTTGTTGCTGATCACCAAAACCGATCACATGTATCTCACTTACAGGTGTAAGGTGTATCTCACAAACCCTAAGCGATGTCTTGTGGAACTTCAATGGTGAGAGTGAATGGGAAGTTTGTGTGTTGCGATGGAAAATTACTTTGGGGGTGAAGCACGTCAAAATGCATCAACACAACGAATATAAAATGGCATTTAAAAAAGAAACACTTGACGGACTATGGCTTGTTGTCCTTTTGATTGAATAACTGCTGTATTGTGCCTGCAAATTTTTTTGCATGTTTATGTCTAAATTAAGTGAATTTATTACCAGATCATTTTTTAATTTTGCAGGTCATATAGTAGCATTTACACCTAAAGCAAAAAAATTTACAGCCAGTACAGGTAATCGGCAGTGATCGGTGATCGGTGGTGATCGGCCCTCAGCAAAAGACCTGATTGGAGCATCCCTAGTTTTAATACTTCTTATGTGATCCTCTGTGAGCAATTTGTTTGATATTTTCAAACATGCAAAACTGACCATTTTAGACAGATTGGGGTATTATTTAAAATTTTGTTCTAAAGCTTGTTTTGTGAAACTAATCATTTTAAGGACATGTTGGTGTCTGATGGAGGCTTGCTGCTCAGCAGTCATCAGGTTCTTTGTCCTGAGCTGGGAATGGAGCCAGATGCTGCTGTTGACAGCAGCTTTGATGGGAAAACTGCAGAGATGGAAGTGAAAAGAGCTGTGGAAGCCAGCAGAATGCAAATGCTTTTTTAACTGTCCAGTCATTCACACAGCAGTGAAAATGAGAACTAACCAACACTAATTTGCTGTTGGATGTGAGAAGCTAACAGGAATTTAATTAAGCCAGTAAATGTTGTTTAACGGTTCAGCTATGGAAAGTTAGGAAAGTACATTCATTAATAAAGTTTATTCATTCATTCATGAATGCTAATAGAATATTTTTCAATTAAAAATGCTTGCAAAAATCACATGTACACTTTGTCTGTATGAAGACTATCATATTTCAGAATTCCATGAATGTTCAGAGGAACAAGCTCAGAATTCACTTCCTGACTATTCTAGAATTCTAGAGACTGTTACACTCATCATGTTTGTTGCACTACCTGCAACAAACATGATCAGATCCAGGAAAATTGAACCTTAAATGAACAATACCACAGAAAATATTACATAACATTAAATGTTATTTATCTTAAACTAAACCTAAATTCAGAAGCAGCTAATAGAGAAATGTTCAGGCCATTTTCAGGAGCTTCTAACCACCTGGTTTAACAGTATCATCCTTTAGATCCCCTGATGAGTCCAACACATTGCTGTTAGATATTACTCTTTGATATTACTTCATTCAGTTTTTTAGATTTGATTAAGCACTGCTCACCTACAGCATGATTATAGTTTGATTATGCTCTGTACGTTGACTAGGCTGTTAATACTGAACAGCAGGACAGCTGTCAGACTGACGTCTCCATGCTGAAGTTTGGAATCTTTACAGAAGAGTTCAACTCTTCTGTAAACAGTGACTTTAACTGTTCTTGTTAAACAAGCCCTAATCATCACCCTTCACCACCGTGCTTCCCGGTGTGTGTGCTGCTTCATCTGATTTGCTTATTTGGTTCTTTGGTTCTGATGTTACCCTCCATAGATGAGATTTTCCATGAATGCATCTCTCTCAAACAAATATGTATTTTGTAATAGATTCATGTTTACATTGGTAGGCACATTTGACTTGGACCTTGGTTTGTTACTTTTTACAAAGGGAAATCAAACAGAACTTCTTGACAGCCATGTTCTTCACCTTTGTTTACCTCAGCTTACAGTTACCTTGCATTTCAGCTTCCCTCCAAAATTGGAACTTGAGTCTGGGAATAATGTCACACCCAACTGCCGTGTTCCAAAAAAAGTTCTGGGAATTTCTTTTGCTGTGCTCAGTGACCAGGTCACTGACAAGCAAAATAATAACATACAGTAACAGTGCATTTCACATGCTCACTGTGTTGTCACATGAGATCTGTGCTCTCATGTGGTTCTCTAGTAGTAATTTTATTTCCTTTCATATTTTTCTGCTTTTCAGTTCCCAGCACATTTTTCCTATCACCAGATTTCAAAAAGGGTTTTTTTATGAACTCTGGTGGAATTACAGATTGTTTTTCTGGGAGTTCTCTTACAGCCTTGGAAACATAATGACTGAAGAAAAAAAAGAGAAAGCTACTGTATTGTCTAAAAGCATGGCTCAGACCCCAGCGACAGTATGCCCATACGATCAGGCACTGTGACTGAACATAATAGCAAGCACAACTCCTTTTACAAAAAATAAATTGATTCCTTTTGGGCCTATTGTGCCTACTGTGAAGTAAACAGCAACTCTGGCAGAATGTTTACAGGCGAGGTGAAATACTTTTCATCCAGTCTCAGTTAGCAGTTATTATTTTCCATGGACAAAACAGAAATACATGTTAGAGTAAACTGCACTAGGTTCTAGAGTCACTCCATTTAAATTTAAAGTTTACTTGTATTCATTAAAAACTGTCCTGTTGGGTAGAAATATTCAAAGTCATAAAGCAACATTTCATCATCCATCCATCCATCCATCCATCCATTTTCTTTACACCAGGGGTCACCAACTCCAGTCCTCAAGGGCTTCCATCCTGCAACTTTTAGATTCACCTCTGCTCCAAAACGTCTGAATTCCCTCACCAGCATTCATTCCTCTCTGCAATAGGCTGGAAACGAGCAGTTTATTTGATCCAGGTGTGTTTGAGCAGAGACGCATCTAAAGTTACAGGATGGTAGCCCTGGAGGACTGGAGTTGGTGACCCCTGCTTGTACACCCTTGTCCCTCAGTGGGGTCGGGAGGGTTGCTGGTGCCTATCTCCAACTATCGTTCCGGGCGAGAGGCGGGGTACACCCTGGACAGGTCGCCAGTCTGTCGGAGGGCAACACAGAGACACACAGGACAAACAACCATACACACACACACACACACACACACACACACACACACACCTACACCTACACACTCACACTCACACCTAGGGGCAATTTGGAAAGGTCAATTAACCTGACAGTCATGTTTTTGGACTGTGGGAGGAAACCAGAGTACCCGGAGAAAACATATGTTATTGATCCTAAAGGTAATGTTGTAGCTCGTATTAATTCAACTTCAAAGAGCTATTGTAGATAGTGATGGCTGTTGGCAGGAAGGATCTCCTGTAGCGGTCTTCTATTACAGTGAATTTGAAGAAGCCTCTGTCTGAAGACACTGAGTTTTCCCAAGACAGTCTCATCAAGAAGATGATTAGGGTCGACCATGATTCTTGATTTTATGAAGAATCCTTCTTTGCAACGTCATCAACAGAGGTTCCACAGTTGTCCCCTAACTCTGCTCTTCCTGAAATCAACAATCATCTCCTTTGTTTTGTTCACATTCAAGATGAGATGATTGTTCCTACACCATGACACAAAGCGGTTCACCAGATCTCTGTACTCAGCTTCTTGCTCATCTCTGATACACCTGACAACAGCAGAGTCATCTGAGTATTTCTGTAGATGACAGAAATCAGACATGTGCTTTAAACTATCTTTATCAACTTCATCTAGTTTTAAAGCATCCTTGAGTTTTAGAAGACAAAATGATGTTGACGGGAGTGTGATGTGTGTGTGTGTATGTGTGTGTGTGTGTGTGTGTGTGTGTGTGTGTGTGTGTGTGTGTGTGTTGTTTTCCTGCAGCTGCATGGAACCAGACTGTCTCTAGCTTGTTTTGGATTTTTATCCTTGGTATAAAACTGTGCCTTGTGCCGACTGTGCTTGCTTCATTACTGATTGACTTATAAGCTCTCTGTATTATACAAATAAACCTGGGTGATTTCATCTAAAAGTGCTTGGCAATTAATTTTTTCCACAACAGAATACAACAGTGATGTAATTTCTTCAGAGCTTTAGACTGAGCGTTTGTTCTTCATAGGACTTCAGTTTTTCTAGCATCACTTCTCTCATTACATTATTTTCTCTCCCAATCACTTTCCCTGATTCAGGGGCCTGATTTCATTCAGCTCTAGTGACATCTACTACCTGGAGCCAATTAACGGTGTGAATTCTTCCCACCATTCACTGTTGAGTGCCAAGGAACTGCAAATTCAAGGTGGAAGCTGTGGCCATGGCCATCACACCGCACAAACCAGCCTCATCTCAGACCTGGTGGTACCGCTTCACTCAAGGGTGAGTCTCCAAGACCAAAGTGTCCTGAACTGCCTCTGTTAATAACACTTTATCTGCAGTCATTCAGAGAACATCTGCCTAGGTCATTTAATACTCTTATAATTAGAGAAATAAAATTAATAGTTGGTGGCTCCCAGGAGCCATAACTTATAAACACTGATCAATTAATCATCAGCAAGTATGAGCAGCACTCTAAAAGTCAAGGATTTTATAGCATTTGTAGCATTTTGTGAGCTAACTTATTGTCTAAAAGGAAAGTCGTTACACACTGTCGAGTTAACAAGTTAACAAGTTAACAAGAATAAAACACAACAAAATGTTCATGTTTTCCAATGAAAGTACTTCAGAAAACGCTGATAGTGTTTCCCCAGTCCAGCAACATTTAATACACGGCAGCGTGTCATGTGGTTTTTTCTTTGGTGTACCAATTAGTTTTAGCCATTTTCCTGCACACAGTGTAAATTGTCTCTCCTCTGAACAAAAATATTATCTTAGACTTCTATATTGCTTGGATTATGTTTTTAAGAAGGTGTATTAGCTGTTCATTTATAAAAATAAAAATATAAAGCAGAAAAAGGGCTCCAAAGTGGGCATTTTAGTGTCTGTTTGGACTGTAGGGGGCACATTTATTTCTCTAGTGTTATTTTATTTGTTTATTATCCCCATTTTTTTTTTTTTTTGTTTACATTCGCTTGTAAACGACCTCATCTATCTGGACTCTTCATCTTCCTGCAGGGTTTTATCCTTCCTTCCTAACTTTTTATGTTCATTTCTACAGTAACACAACCTCCGGTTTTCCCAGTTCCCCCACAGCCACCTATTAATACTTGTTGTTATGCAGAAATGCCAGTTTTAGCGGACCAGGAGACCCAAGGTTTTTGACACTCTTTGCATATAAAATCAGCAGTGTTTGAATACATCAGTGCATGTTATGGGAGTGAATGAGTCCAGTCTGTAGCCACAGCTCCACAGAATCCATGCTGTTATTCAGATAAATATTGATTTAGAGTTTTCTGAATTACTGCTACTCTTTCCACACAACAAAATGTTCCTAATTGGATTTTTAACCCCATAAGCTTTTTTGGGGACTGTTTCCATGTTCTCCTAAGCTATTCAAAAGCATGAGTGAGTTCGATTGGTTCCTAATTGGCCGTAGGGTGGTGTGGGGTTCTGTCTGTCTCAGAAGACTAAAACTGACCACAGGTTACTCATTCTGTCTTCTTACCTGTTTAACGTGACCAGCTTGTTGGTTTCTGTTTCACTACCTGCTTTTTGAAAATTGACCAGAAATTCTTCATGTGATTAAAGTGGGTAGTATTATGTGTTTTCCCGGCACATAGGACCATTTTCCAGCACACTCAAGTAACAGTGTTATATTTATTAAAAATTACTTTAAAAAATACTTTATTTAATGCCTTGAAATTGGGCTTCTGTCTCTTTAAAACCTCCTGCTCTTTCTGAAACTTCGCCTTCAGGAAGTCATCACAACATGGCTCCTATATTCACCCTGTAACAACATCTTTATCCGCATTACACTGAGAAGTATCTCACATGAGCTCAGCAGATGGGTAGTTCTCCCAGGTGTTTGCTAATTGCTGCTGGCTAGTCTGAAGTAATTGTGTGGGGGATTTGTGGAGGAGGGCTGCTCTGTGAAGCGGAACCTTGGAAACTTGGAAACTGCAGCTTCTCCTCGCAGCTGCATCTGGAAGTTGGTGCTCGGTTCCACCCAGGCTGTTTGCAAAGCTGAATGATTGCCATGGAGATTCAAGAATTTTTCAAACATGCATGAAAGACTTAAGGCAACACTTAAAGTATGTGTTACAACACCATGCAAAGCTCAAAAAAGTTGATTTTACATAATACTGCCTCTTTAAGATCTTAGTAATCTTATAGTTCTTTAAGCTTTGTTGACACATTTGCCTTTTGACACTGAGTTCCATTAGACTGGAAGATCCACAGAATGTCTCCCACATTTTTACTTTTTAATATTCTAGATATATAAGACAAACCTGAATGCTGCCAGTTTTATCAGAATTGTTGCTGCAAGTTGCTTTTTTGAGAACAGTTGGATCTCACCTCTTATTCATGGGAATGGTTCAGGGTACAACTGTGAATAATCTCATCGTTTGGTCTACAAGCAACTAGAATGTCTGTTCTGTGGAGGCTTCCATGTCAGATTATAAGTACCTTTTAAAAATAATAGCCTTTAACCAGTTACTGAAGCTATTTTCATTAAGCTAACATTTCTTTATTAGTTTTTTTTAATGGTCTGATGTAATGTTCTAATCTTAAATGTTGTGTTTTCACTGGCTACAAGCAGAAAAGCATTAATTTTCAGAAATGAGGAAAATCAGTGGAATGAATCTATATCTGTTTCTCTTTGTGATAGTTACAGAAATAATACACTTCAAAATCTGATTTATTACTTATTACTGTATATTGTATTGAAATGGTTCACATTTTCTTCTCTAGATCAGAGTTGAGAAATCAGCAGAAAAAAGTATTGTGCTGCAGTATTCTGAATGCTTCTTTTAGACTGCCCTTAACACATGGTCATAGTGATGATCATTGCACAATTTTTCTGCTGATATTGTGACGATCATGAAATGACAACTGCTGATCATTTTGTGCCAGGTCAGACATGTTTGGATACAAAGTAAATGGTACTTTGCTGGTTACAAATGGATGAGCTTATAAGACAAGGCAAGCTGAGGTGAATAACAGGAAGTAATCAAAACAGATGGGCACACAGATGAAAACCCAAACTCAAACACTCAGGGATTATGACAGTCTCTGGAGTTTCAGGTCTGAGTCCATTTATACCCAGATTCCAGAAGCATTTAATGGCAGCATGTAGATATTAAACAGGAGGAATTCCAAAATGGAACCTTGGGGTACCCCACATGTGATTTTTATCAACTCTGATGTAAAGTTACCTATTGACATGAAGAAGTCCATGTTATTTTAATAAGACCTGAGCCGGTCAAGTATGTATCGTGGTCAACATTGTCAACTGTTGCACTGATTGAATACTTGGACAGGGACAGTCTCCATAAGGCCCAGCACAGAAACTGGACTGAAGGATGTCAAAGGTCATTGCTCATTCTGGTGTAATCTGATATTCAGATGAGACCAGCTGGAGGTTAAGGAGCAATTCTCAAAGGTTATATCAGTGTTCTCATTTCTATTGTGTAAAATATTGTATTGTTAGCTACATACATGTTTTCCATTTATAGTAAACAAAGTAAAAATATATTATTTTACTTTTTAGTACCATTGGAACCAGCTCTTTATAAAATGCTTTACAAAAACAGGAGACTGTTCCCCAGTCATTTAGCAGTCAGGAGACTGCTAAATGATAATGTCTTATCATTTAGCAAGGTGATAAGACATTTATCACCTTGCTAAATGTTTTATCTGTGTTCAGTGTAATACATACTGCAGCTTGTGCTTTATGTATAATTATATTTTTATCTTCCATTATTCTTTGATATCAGGTTAAGAGAAATACCTTGGGTACGACTAAGTACATGGAGCTTTACATCGTGGCAGACAGCACACTGGTAAGATCTTTCTCCCCCATCCTACTCCGCCCTCAGGGGAATATTCCTCGGTACAATCAATTGTGACGTTTGCCTCTAAATATATCAGGAAGCTATCAAGTAAGGCTGGAAACAGGATTGGAAGTTCTACACAATCATTGCACTCAGGCTAATGGAGCACTTGACAGCTTTGAGCTGAAATAATAATAGTGAAGAAATGCATGTGGAGCGAAGCCAGAAGATTTCTTCTGATTAATGAGAGTAGATTTAGTTGGGATCTAAAGGCTAAGGGCTTTTAAACAGAAAATATGCCACCGTGATAAGATGCAGGATTTCTCTCAAATACTTCTGCTAGTGTATTAGTGCCATGGTAACAGAGTCCCTGAGCAGAGTGGTGGTCTTGTTCTGAAAATCCCATTTCCATAAAAGTTTGAACGCTTTGTGACATGAGAATAAAATAGCGCTGAGCATTGGGTTAAACTGGAAGCAGTATATGGCAAAATGTGTTTCTGTTTTATTAGATTTTTATTGAATTTCATCTAATAATGCTTGTCATTTTCCAAAGTATTGTCAGAATGTTTTTTAAAAACATTTAAAAAGAGCAGCAGGTTTCCAGCTGCTTTTATTTTAAATAAAGTCTTCCGCTCCCACATTTTAACTTTTTAAAATTCTGCACATATAAGACAAACCTGAATGCTGACCAGTTTGAACCACCTTTTTTTTGTTGACTGTGTTCTGCTATATATTTAGGAAGCTGCTTCACACTGTGGCACCTTCAACAGCTGCCTGCCATCTCAAGCCCTAATAGTGGCTTCAAATTGTGAAATGTTTTATTCATTCATGACTTTTTGTTTTTCAGTGCAGTATGACTGAACCAGTACTGCTATACTTAATAACTTTTTAGAACCTAGAATTAGGGATGTACTGATTGCAGCGTTCAAACCAATCACGGATCACTGATCTTTAAAAGTCTTACCTGCCAATTCCGATTTTGTCCAATACCAATTTTCTTTGTCTAAAAAGTTGCTAAGTAAAGTGACAAAGTTGCTAATTTGGTGACAGTGACCCCACGTCTAACAGTGCATGTGCAGACGTGACCTGGTGGGCATTTAAACAAACTTTTTAATTAGTTTCAATTTTTTTGAGATAGAGGGAACTTTAACATTGCTAGTTTGATTATCTAAAATAACACTAAACTAATGGGGTTTTGACATTTATTAAACAAGTCAAAATCGTCCATGCCTTTCACTGGGAGATAGATTTTATCTCTAACATATCAGTATTGGACAAAATCGGAATTGGCAGGTCAGACTTTTAAAGATCAGTGATCCGTAATTGGTTTGAACACTGCAATCAGTACATCCCTAATTCTAGGTTCTGACATTAAGCCCAAGATCAATAAGATGACCTTCATGACGGACTACACCTCATCAAGATAACTTCTACTGAGATTCCTTTTTGTTATTTGACAACTGAAAAAGTCTGAACTGTTGCCTGTTATCCCTGCATATCAGAGAAAATATGTTGCTTTAACTTCCAGAATCACTTTACTAACATCTAAAACTGTAGCATTTTTTTTATCATTATTTTAAATTAAACCTGACTACCTCGTATTTTATTAGGACATACTGAAAAATTTTGTGGTGTAAACTACTCAGTGATGCATTATGTCACACATAGGCAACATCATTACAGAAATAAAGCAGTGACCCAATAATAACAAAACTTAATCTTATGCTGCCCTGCAAACCTGCACCTGTGAGAATTCACTCACCACAGCATGTTGAATGCTTGAGATTGTGATGATCTGTGTTTTTGTGTATTTATTTCTTGGTTTTTTCTGTGTCCTTGTTTCCCCGTGAATCTCTGTGATGTTCTGTCCTCCCTGTTGATTGATCCCAGCTGTGTCTAGTTTTTACTGATTACCCTCCCTGTGTATTTAAACCCACCTGTTCTCTTTGTCTCTTGTCGAGTCCTCATCTTATGTCGTCTAAAGTCAGTTCTTGTCGCATGACTAACGTCAATGCTCTCCAGTGAAACTGCGAAGTCCTGGTTAGTGTTAGCTCTCGTTTTCAGTCTTCTACCGGTAATTAGCTGTGTGCTATAGTCTCTGCCATGCTGCCTGTATTGGACTGTTTGAGCTCCATCATTAAATTCATCATTTCCTTCACAACCTGGGTCTCTGCGTTCATCCTCACCACCTCCCATTAACCAAATCATGACAGAGATGCTCAGACTGATTATTTATTCTGATTTGTTCAGCTGATTATGTTCTGACTCTGGGAACTCAGACTGTTTATAGGTGACTACATTTTTTCTTAAGCCTGGCAGGTTTGGTGTTTTATAAAATGTACATGAAACACTTTAAAAAAGGATCAGAAATACAAAGAATTGGTGTTACGTCTTTCTACAATGTCCCATAAAAAAGGTGTTCTTTTTCTCAGTTTGACTTTTGGACGGTTTTGAATTAGGGTTAGTGAAGCATATTTCTTTGACTTCAACAGTTAAATAATAGCGATTAGGTCTTAGGTGTCATTGAGGGTAGGGCTGTGATTTTACAGGACATTAGTTTGTGTAAAGAACAGACTGGAGTCTCTGAGTCATAACACTAATAATATCTAAGTAAGTAAGTAAGTAAACTTTATTTCTATAGCGCTTTTCACAGACCAGTCACAAAGTGCTGCACAAAATAAATAAATTAAAAGCAACATACATACTGTTTTATCTATTCTCACTCTTGCAGTTCAAACGACAGGACAGGAACTATGAAAAGACCAAGGCAAGGATAATGGAAATTGCCAATTATGTGGATAAGGTAAGTTTGCTGGGATAATGTGCAGCTGTCTGCCACTCTCTGCAGAGGATTTGATAAACTAATAGAATATTCTCCTCCATTTCTTAACATCACACATTGCCACTGTACTTTGTCTTTTATCTTTTATAGTCCTTGTGCACAATCGGTAACTGAGAAGTTAAAACAAATATTTACTCTTCCATGAAGTCTCATTGGGTTTTAATCAGTCGTGTCCCTCAACAGCGTTCTGGAGGAGATCAAGGAGAAAGTGTTGCGTGACCAGACTCTCTTATAGGAGCTTAAGGGAAGACTGTGAATTGAACATGTGTGTGTATGTGTGTTTTAGCATTTATCAATTTGTAAGGCAGATTTTTTTCAATAAATACTACATTGTGAGGACCCACTTCTTCTTATGGGGCCCTAAGCCTTAATAGAAGAAGTGCTCTTTTATGGGTTAGGTTTAGGACTGGGGTGTGAATTGAGTTTATTCTAGGTTTAGGGTTAGGTATGTACTGGGAATGCTTAGGATTATGGTCATGGTTAAGCTATAGAGATGCATGAAAAATGAATGGAAGTCAATGCAAAGTCCTTGTGAAGATAGAAAGACGTGTGTATGTGTGTGTGTACTGTTGGACACTTACTGGTGGTTTTGTGTGTCTATTTAGTTCTACAGGGCTCTAAACATCCGTGTGCCTCTCATTGGCCTGGAGGTTTGGACTGACAGAGATCAGTGTATCATCTCAGAAGAACCAAACGCCACCCTCTGGTCTTTCCTCCAGTGGAGGCAGAAGCTCAAATCTCGTAAAAAGCACGACAACGCCCAGCTGCTGACGTAAGAAACACAAAGTTACTCCCCAGCTTCAGCAGCCTTGAAACAAGGGAGAACATGATGGAGCCCTTGCTAAAAATACACACATACTGTTACTGAAGTTGATCTAACGAGGAAGACAAATCTAATCTCACTCTAGCAAATCTAATGTTAATTTGCTCCAAATTTAAATGAAAATTACTTGATTTTCTTTACTCACAGATTAACTGATTGTGTCAGTTATTTAAAGGTTTTAACTGCAAAGCTCAATTTTCTACTTTTAAAAACTCTTTCACTTCATGAGCAAATTGTGAGAATTTGGTTTTGCTGTGTGTTAATTTAGTTTCTTGTCTGCCCCAATTGCTCCCAGCTGTGTCTCGTGTTCCCCGATTCCCCTTAAGTGTGTTTAATCCCACCTGTATCTGTGTTTCCCCTTCAGATTCTTATCTTAGCTGTCTTACGTCGTGTTGTGTTAAGTTTTCCAGTGCTACCAGTGTCTGAGTTTCTAGCTTCAGTGCTCACATGTTCTGCCTGGACTTTTGTACTATCTGGCTATCTTTGTTAATCATCATACTCAGTTGCTGCTTCTATGTGGCACCCAAGTGGTAGTATTGATCTAAGTAAACCTGAAGCAGAATAGGACAGCAATGCCACCTAGTTAACCTAGGAATAAAACCAAAGTAATATCAGGTGTGAGCAGGGCTTTAAAAATGAGCCAGGTAAAGTTGACAATGTTACAAACAAGGCACTAAAAATGCAGGGACAATGTCACAGAGTCAATAACAAAACAGAGTAATAGCTAAGGTGTGGGGGGGAGGGGCATGCAGGGGGGCATGATCCTCTCGCCAGCGCTCAATCCTCCGCAGCCACCAGCAGGATAAACCCCAGCAATGATCCAGCCGCTTTGTCCTCTACAGCGACCGCCAGTCCTGTCGACCTGCCAATCAGCTCGTTCCAACTTGTTCTACCTTTGTTCCAACTGCTGCCCCCTGCGCCCTTGATCTGTCCGGCCCCTCTCTCCTTCTCAATGCTCAGATACCCTTTTTATTCCTCCGATTTCCTTGATGGTACGCTGCCCAACTAATAGGGAACACCTGTGCCAGCCAAAGTGGGCGTCTCCGGCAGGCTGTGGGTGGTAACGCCAGCCTCAAAGGCAAAACACAAAAAGTCAAGGAAAACATGCAACACAGCAAACCAAAAATAAACCCAAAATAAATATAACAGCAAATGTGAGTAACTTCAAAATATCACAGCAAAACAAATCCAAAACAGTAAATATAAAAAAACATGAAAATATCTAAAAAAAAAAAAAAAAAAAAAAAGCCCACATCACCCAATCATCCCCCCTCTTTTTGGGGCCCAAACCTTTAAAGCCC